GCCATCATTGTTGTTTGGCGGGTCCGGGCTGGGGATTCAAACCCGCCACCTTAGGTGTACGTGGCTGGCGCCTTAGCCGGTTGAGCTATAGGCGCCGGGCCAAGAGGCCACTTTCTTACAATGTTCTCTTATAAGTTAATAATAAAAAGAAGTTTCATTTTTAAAAAACATTTCTCAAGGGTGCAGTTGTTCAGTTTTTGTTGTTGTTTGTTTTTATTGGTGGGGATTCATTGCAGTTGTTCAGTTTTAAACACTATTTGCCTCAAGACTGAACTTGACCAAGCTAATCCTTTTTCTGTACTATCCTTCCTCCAACTCAAGGTAAAGATTTTGCCATATTAGTCTTCTGGCTGTGTTGGGGTGTCATCTCCTATGAGCAACTGCTTAAAGAACATGTGCATCTCAAAATAAACACCGCAATGCATATGCAGTCTAAATCCCGACTTAGAGCTGTGACTGTCCACAGCATGGAAAATCTATTACATTAACAAAAAGCAGTTTGGTTCCTTTAAGCAGAGCCATGCTTCTCCAACATCTGACTTCAGAGCATTGACTCAGCTACGTTTTTTGCATATGTAAATATTCATTGTGCTGACTTCCCAACTATTGATATTATATAAGAAAGGAAGTCATGTCTGTAGAAGAAGCCTTCTTCCAACTTCATAAATCACAGTGTCGCTATAATCTACCAGTCCTGTCAAGGCCTGGGACTTCTTAGTAGCTCTGAGTCCCAGGAACTGTTTTTACTCTCCTTCCACAGGCTGGGGGCTGAGGGGAGGTGGACTGGGGACAAGCTCGTCCCAAGCCCTCCTTTGTGTGGAACATCTGTATGCTATAGGAACGACTTTGTAATGGAAACCAGAATTAAGACAACTGGCAGAAAACAATGGCAACATACGATATTTTTTAAAGAAGGCTGTCTATCCAGAATATATAAAAGACTCCTATGGATCAGTAAGAAAAATAATCTGTTTTAAAATGGAAAACAGGCCATAAACAAGCAATTCACAGAAAAAATAAAAATAGTTCTCAAGCATGTGCAAAATTTCAGTCTTTTTAATGTAATAACAACATTTAAGAAAAAGTAAGCAATAATGAGAAAAGATTGGCCCAAACTAAAAAGATCAGTGAGTTCCAGTTTTGTCCAAAGATGTCAGATAACTATTTATGGAAGTGTAAAATGGCACTTCTTTTTTAGAGGGCAATTTGGTGATTGCTGTTGAACTTCACAAGGCTGTTTAGGATTTGAATTTCAAAATCCTAATTAAAGTTCCTTAACTTTCTTACTCAGAAGATTTTTTGGCCTCAAGTCAACAAGCCACCTATGGGAGAGAAGGGAGAGGGAAAGGGATGTAAGATCACTTCACTGGCTCGTAGCTACTCTGGTCACATCAGGAGGAATTCTTCTAGTTGCTGAGAAACTTCCTACACACTCAGAGAAGGGAGGTATTACACTCCTGCCCCTTGTCTGTGAAGCCTTTCTTTTTATTTCTACTTCAGTCCTGTGACAGATCATTCTGTCAGAGTTTACAGGTAACTTTAGCTGTTTGCCTGGTCTGTTAATTATGCATAATATTCTTAGTTTAAACCTTTTCTCTGTCATCATAGGTGGTGTGCAGAGTCCGGCTCTCTTCATGTGAATGTTTATAAAAACATTTCTGAATGTTTGGTTTTCACTGTAAGCACCAATTGACTTTTGTAACTAAAATTTTTTTTCAAGACATTCTGTACTTTGGGAATTTTCACATGTAATTGCTTACAGAGTATCACATTGAGTTTTATTTGTTGGGGAAGTGGGGGTGTCAATTGTTTTTCAAATAAGCCATTACAAAGGCTGATGTTGTAAAAGTGCATGTGCACTGTTTGCGTCAGAACTTTCATAGTGACGGTTATGGGACATTCATTATTCTCAGCCTCAGAATTAGAAGAACTCATCTACTCCCAAAATTGCAAGGAATTATCATATCATCATGAGGATACTTATAAGACAGTAGGTTTTCAAGCTAACACACTGATGGGATACAAAGTTGGTGCTGGAGGCCTAGACACAC